ACACTGACATTGTCCAGACGGTTTGTGTCTCGCAAAAATCGACGGCTGTGAATGGCGGCAGCACAAAGGTCTGCGATGTATCGTAGCTGCACAAGAGGCTGCCACCCCAAAAGACATATTGTCCATTCTTCCACGCTCGTGGTGTTGGCGTCACCGAGAGTGACCGAAGGTTGGTGTAAGTATTCGCAAACGAGCTGTTGAGCCCTCCGTAGAACGCCGTTGAGAGGGCACTCGTGAGGCAAACGAGAGCGGTTGGGGGAGACACAACAAGAAGATCGATCGAGAGATAAGGTCCGAGAGCCGCACGAACCAAGCTGGATTGGGAGGCGCCAAAATAGTATTGAGCATACGAATAATCGTCAAACGACTGCGGCGGCATGCCAAAGCACGTTGTATTGAGAATGTAATTGGGCGTGTCGCGAATCAGACTCAGGTTGCACATTGTCGTCGGGTACAGATCCATGGCCAACGGCTCATAAAAGTGGCTGGACGACCCTGGACCTAGGTCGGACTCGATGCTCTTGAGTGTCAGAGATGTCGGTATACCGAGGGCATTGACAAGCGTCGCTGTCTCGACGAGACCCGGAAGGCGCAAGTTTTGCCACTGGTAGCAAAAGCGCTGGATCCCATGGCGCTGCCAAAACGCCACTTCGTCCGGCACCGACGTCGTTGTTGCAGCGACCGTGTCCAGCCAATGCACGCCACGCGTCGACGCCTCGAGACCACTCAAGATCGCGCTCCAAAAGAGCGTCTCGGGACCGCCGTAGCCGACAAGAAAGGCCGTCCAATCAATGTTGCGAGCCACAGCCTCCAGGTAGACGGCGCCGTTGGTACCATACTGGTGACGGCACCGGTCCTGCCGCGCCTCTGTGTGCGCGAGCTCAAACGATTTGTTAAAGTCGACCCAGCAGTATGGTGTCGGAAGCCACAAGACCATGTCGATAGATGTGTTGCGCAGACTCGTGATCGCAAAGTCGAGGGATGGGAGCTTCGTCGTCAGCAGAGCCATTGCATACGTCGGGTGTGCGATAGCGGTTGTCAGCAGACCGTCGTAGCGCGCGTCGAGCATCACCGAGCCCAAGTCAACGGTCGCCTCATCATCTGATGTCTCCAGTAGCTGGTTGAGGGCATCGATGAGGAAGGTTTGGTACCCAGACGAGTTGTAGTGCGGCCAGAAGAAGTCGTTGGCAAGCTGTGGCTGGATATGGAGAAGGTAATAGAAAGTACCTGCCAGCGTCGCACAGAGCCAGAGAGCCCCCGGGAGCCGCCACCGACTTGGCGATGGATCGAGAGACCCCGTCGTCGGCTGGATGCGCATGTCGGCCGTTGCTGTACTTTATACATGAAACCGCTCCAAGATAGCGCGTCTGAAGCGTCGCCGAGACGACTCATTACTCATTTCCACGGTGCATCTAGGCCATACCCGAAAAGCTATCATATATATACACGACAGTATCCACCGCTTTGTACGCCTAACGAGTACGGTACTTAGCGGCGTCAGGAATCGTATACGATCGTACTAACGTTAGTGTAGCCGTCCTTGTGTGAACCGACCACCAGCCGGTGTGTGCGTGTGTGTGTGTGTGTGTGTGTGTGTGTGTGTGTGTGTGTGTGTGTGTGTGTGTGTGTGTGTGTGTGTGTGTGTGTCACAATCGCTTCTGCGATAGTAGCACCGCTCGTTGGTTTGAGCTCTCGATACAAGCACCTTAAACCCCAAAACTGGAGCCAAGCCTGGAAGACCTAGGGTCGAAGCGACGGCCCGCAGGTCGTCGTCCTCGACGCCAAAGCCTCTGCGACTTCGGCTGGAGGCAGCGGCAGCACAGGACGGTGTGGCCCGAAGGAGCGGCCGCCGGAGCTACGACTCGATAGGTCGGCGGTGATGGCCATGAGGCGCGCCGCGTAGCCTTGCCAGCATCGTGGCGAAGGTGTTGCTAGCTAGTCTTGGACATAACTCCACACACACAGCGCTAAGAACTGTATGGCTCGGTCATTGCGATGCATGCCAAGGCGTCCATGGAATAGCTGCAGTCCGCTGCCTTCCTTGATCGTATGCCTGTGTGAGGTACCTTCCGAGGCGCAGTCTCTATCCCGCTCGTCACCGAGTTGAAGCGTTGCATCACATGATCGTAGGCTTAACACCGCAGGCGGCAACGCTGCTGGGGCCAAGTCCCTCGTACGACCCGATAATCAGACAAATGTGCAGTTATAGAGATGAAGATGGTATTCTTGCTACCGCGCTCGTGAGGTACGCCTGTCGGAGGGCGCTTGGTCGAGGCTTGCGATTGGGCGAGGAACGAGATAGCGCACGCCAAGCGTCGGCGCAGAGAGCGTCGAGCGCTTCGGCAAGCGACAGCCCCACGGCGCGACGAGCCCAGTGCCGGACATGATGCAATTGCGCAATGGTAGATGCCTTGATCGCAAGCGCAGCAGTGGGAAGGTGCGTCAACGTCGAGCCAAACACCCGGGTCGTGCGCCAGCCAGAGCCGGCACCCGTCGCACGATCCTATAGTTCTTGTTCCGTGCGTCGGCCGTTCGGAGTGGGCTCCTGCGCGTTAGCTCTGCGCGTTATGATGGCCCGTGGGTTTGAGAGAGGGACGTCTACCCACGGCCTGTCCGACGGACGAGAAAGACGAGAGTAGTATGATGGACCATTGACAGCGACGCCCACATACGCTGTATACGCAGCAGTGTTCGTGACGAGGAGTGGCCGCATGACGCAGCCGCTCGCCAGTAGCCGTTCGTTGTCGTCGTAGTAATCACGCTGCTGCATCAACACAAGTGTGGAGCTGCAAGTAGCCGCGCCTTACTCACTGCGCACCCACCGCCTCGTGTGTTGCGCAACCACAAACGCAGTAGTCGAGGAATCGTGGCATAAATTAAGATTAAGACGGCGGCGTGGGTGGTTCAACACCGCCCGTCGAGGCTACTAGTGCGACTCAGACTTGGAGCACGATAGGCGTCGGTCGCAGCGGCGCTCTTGAAGTGAGCAAAGCAGAAACCCTTGTTGCGCGCGTTCTTTCGACAGGTCGCCACGCTGCACTTTTTGCCACCGCCGTGTTTGATGCAGCGGCCACCCGTGACCGCGCCCTTGACGCACCCGGGCATCGAGCACCGGTGGCCGCCACCGTGGGCAACGCAGTAGTTGCCGCTCACAGCGCTCCGACTGCACATGTCGAACTGGCAACGCTTCCCGCCGCCATGCGCGATGCAGTAGCCGCCCGAGAGCGCGTACTTGGTGCACCCGGCGTCGTTGCAGCGCCGGCCGCCACCGTGCTGCGCGCAGTAGCCGCCGAGGAGCGCCGACTTGGCACACTCGGCCGCGATGCAGCGCTTGCCGCCGCCGTGCGAGATGCAGAGGCCACCTTCCTTTGCGCTCTTGACGCAGCCCGCGACTTCACAACGCTTGCCACCGCCGTGCGCGATGCAGTAGCCACCGGTCTTGGCCCGTTTGGGGCACGCGTCCCATTGGCAGAGCTTTCGGCCGAGGAGCGGCTTGAGCAATGGTGTTGGGCGCGGCGGCGGTGCAACCGGCTTGGCGTCGGCCGACGTCAGGCTGTCGTACATGGCTTGGGCCTGGCGGTGGAGGAGGCAGACGCTCTTGAGCTTGGCGAAGCGCGTGCAGCCGGGCACGGCGCAGAGCGTCGAGAACTCGGGGAGCATCATCTTTCGTGCGATAAAATAAAAACTGAAGTGCTCGATTTCGAACCGCCACCGGCTGGCGGCCCGACCAGTGGCGGGCCAGAGGTGGATGTTGGCGCGGGACAAACCATCTGGTTCGCGGCTGTCGCGATGACACCACCGGTGCGCGGAGTGAACAGTCGCCTGCTCACTTTCGCGCGAGTCGCCATCAGCATCCCACCTCCCACGAGGTCGATCCTCCTCACACTCGAATCCAGTGTTGACGCAACCCACGGGTAGCCAATCTCGGCGCGAAAGAAGCGGTGGCAGCACAGATCTCAGGTCAAGGTCGGACTCGATGACACCCATATGTGGCGCGACACGGCGGCTTCCAACGTATACAGGTATACAAGCACGCTGGAAATTTGTAAACGTCGCTCCATCTGCCGACTCGACGGAGTAAACGGTGCTTGCTTTCTCACGAGATCACCTACGCTTTTTGATGCACTGACTGCACTGGTGGTGGCCACGCGGTTGGAGAGCCCTGGAGATGGCTTGAGTCAAGCTCGCTCTACCACTACCATCGACATTCTTATTGCTTCTAACAAAGTATCGAATTTGACGCTATTCGCGTGGTCTAGTACTGTGATAGCTTATTGAACGGAAGGGCCTCGCACGACGGCCTCGCCATCTTGACGTACTACCGTCAGTGGCAAAGTGCATTCTTTCTCGTGCGCTGTGATTCGAATCTACACTGTACGATGTACGCGTTTCTGATACCGTACGTACATACATTGTACGTACTGTTGTACCACGCAGTACGAGCAACGGGGTCTTCAGTGGCCGCCATCGCTGCCCATCGCTGCCCGCATCATCCATGTCCTCGTACCGGTATATGTACTGGTCACGAGGTAGTGTAGGGACTCGTACTGACATTGACAGATCCTACGTCGATAGTCTAGAATGTTCAAGCAGACCGCTGCACCATTTTGTTGTGCAGCCTTTCTGGGTGTTGTTGGATACGATGACGTGGCGCCTCCGCAGCGTCGTCGTCCGTTGCGCGGCCTTTCGGTTGGGCTAAATATACACGGGCGTGGTTAAGGCATCGTAGAGTACACACTTACCGCAACATGTCGACGCCTGTCGTACCCATCTCGCCGACGGAGCAGGACACTGGTGCCTTTGACGCGACGCCGTCCAGCGCACGGCTGGCGGCGCTCCAGCGCGTTCAAGCGCGGGTTTTTGAGGCGCTCAAGCCCGTCATCGGGCTCGTCATCTGCTGCCTCATCGTGGCCGACTCGATCACGAACAACTGGAGCTTGAACGACTATACGGGCAACGCATACCACTTTCGGACGCCGGTACTGAGCGTCGCGACGGTCAATGACGTCCGCGCCCAGTACAACTTTCCCCTCCGATCTGTCTCGATCTCGCCCGCGGGCATTTGGATGTCGTTCTTCAACGTCTTGCAGTTGGCCACGGGCGACCCGGACATGTATCTGCTCACGGCGGGCTCGTACACCGTCAACAAAGCCATCTTGGACAAGCAAAGCCTCTGTACCGAAATGGCCAACCAGTACACTCTCCAAGCCACCACGAGCCTCTCGGCCGTCAAAATTGGCGCGTCCATGGACTATATGACATATCTGCAGGGCAACATTTTCTCGTCCTATGACACGAGCACGCTGCCGCACAATATGTCGGGCGCGGCGCTCACAAGCCTTGGGTTCCTCCCGGGGCGGCTGGCCACAGACCTCCGGCTTTCGTCGGCATTCAACGTCACCCCCGATGTGCCTTACTCAAGCGTCAACGTCTCTTTGTATCGCATTTACAGCAAGTCGTTCTGCAGCGGCTGCACGCCATTGGCCGAGCTCGGACTCCTCGAATGCAAACTCACCTACTCGTACAACAGTACGTCGCGCGCGCTCGTTGTCCACTCCAGCAACGGCATTTTGGGGTCCACCCAAGACGTCGGCGTCCTCCTCCAGAAAAGTTCGTTTGTGTCGGCGGCCGTCTACATCAAGATTCTCAGTCTTCTCTGGGTCATTGTGAGTTTTGGCGCGAGTCGAAAGACGACCCGCTGGATCGAAGTCGAGACGTGGTTCACGCTGCCGTGGTACTCGAAGCTCTGGTACACGGTCGCGCCACCGATTTTTCGATATGCTTCGAGCGCTGTGAGTCTCTCAACTTTTTACTACAACTGCGACGGCTTTGTCCTTGGCTACTCGATCGCTGTCATGCTCGACATGAACGCCTCGCTTGTCTACGCGCGGGAAGTCAACATCTACAACAGTCTCAGCCCGAATTCGTTCATGTCGCTGCAGCTCTACTCGATGGGCCTCCGGTTTCTGTGGGCCAACTGCCTCGTCCTCAAGGGCCTCAAGATTGCCTTTCACTACCTTAGCAACGCGCAGACGACGGGCGACAACAAAATGGTGCGCTTCTGCAACCTCAGCTCGGTGCTTTTCATCTACCTCTCGGGCGTTGCGCTTCTCAATGTGAACCAACTCATTGAAATGAACAACAAGGCGCGAATCGACGTGCCGATCTACAACCTCCAGCGCATCAACGTCCACTTGGACGTCTTCGACTCGTGGTTTGTGCGCGCGCTCCCGACTGTGTTTGCGATTGGACTCATGAACCTCGTGTTCGTCCTTGCGCTCAACCACCTCTTTATGCGCTCGTGGTGGCGCCGACTCGAGCGCAACACGCTGGCGCGGCAGTTTATCTACAACTCGTCGGCGATTCTCGTTGAATTTTTTGATGAAAAAGACTTCAAGCCGGTCGACACCGACGTCAAGGCGATCGCGCCACTGGTCGTACCGGCGCGGTCGCTCTGCACGCTGCAGTGGCTCCTCACGTGTCACTTGATTCGGTTTGGGCTCACCGAGTCGCCATCGGTCGTCAAGGCCATCGTGACGCGCACCGCGAGCAAGCAGAGCGGCGACCTCTTCATGGTCGTCCAAGACTCGGACGGCAACGTTCGCCTCTATGACGCCCACAAGGCCGAAGTGCAAAGCCTCGGCATGGAAGTCAAAATTCTCAACAACACCAACTACATCATCGCGTAAGACCAAGCTGGATTTATGTTGTACAATATATATACTTTATAAACATATTCGCCGGTGACGAGCGACTTCACGAGCAGACGACTGTTTGTGTCGGCCAAAGGTGCAAAGAAAAGGGAGGCATGTAGAACGGTTTCCGGAACACTACCACCCAATGTGAGCTAAATGATGCGAGCTAGTGTTTAGGTGCAAAGAAAAGGGAGGCATGTAAAACGGTTTCCGGAACACTACCACCCAATGTGAGCTAAATGATGCGAGCTAGTGTTTGGGGAGGTGGGATTGCGCCACAGTAGTCACGTCAGAGGGACGCGACTTTTTGACGAGAAGGACCCAGAGAAGGACCGAACGCATTTTCCATCGGCGCGATGCGCGACGTACAAGCGCAGGCGCCTGTCCGCACTCATGTCGCCATCCAGAACTTCGCCGTAAGAGTCGGAACCAAATCGCACGCGGTCTCCTTTGCATACTCGTACATGTTGTATAGAGCGTCAACCGAGCGCTCAGAAGCGCTCGAGGTCATCTGAGCCTTCCGATTACTGTAGTCGTTGCTTTCTTGACTGCATTCAGTCACTCGACCGCTCGAATCAGATACCAGATGTAGAACATAGAAAACACGTGCTCCTTCGTGTCTTTGACCAAACGATGCCGTGTCCAAAGGCCCGAAACGTCATATCCCAAAAAGATCAACCATACCGTGACGTGAGGCGTATCCTACCGTGGAAATTGGCAGTGGGAAAGAAGGTAGCGCACCAGATAGAATATACGATTAATCACAACAACAACCAACCAAATAAACTTGAGAACGATTACGTTTGAAGTCGGTGCAGCTCGTTCCGTAGTGCACGTCGCACGTGCAGTAGCGATGGCCGGTACGTCGGGTTCCAGTTCATGCAGCTCTTGACGACGTTGGCGAGGGACTCGCCGGCCGCGGAGCTTCGACGCACGCCAGCTGTCGATGCCCCCTTGAAGACGGCCATTTCTTTCAAAAGCGCGCCAAGGGCAAAAATGTCGGCTTGGACCGTGTACTGGAGCCCCGAGAGGATCTCGGGGGCCGCGCGCTGCGTGCTATACACGTCAACAAAGTCGTCTTCTTCGCGGAGCCAGCCAAAGTCGCAGAGCTTGGCTTCGCCCCGTGCGTTGAGATAGACGCTCGACGACGAGATGTTGCGGTGGGTCACGCCCTTGGCGTGGATGTACAAGAGACCTTCGACGATGCGCACCGCGTAGTCCAATTTCGTGACGAGCGCTTCGTCATCGTTCGCAATCGTTAAATAGTCCTTGAGCCGGCCTCGGTCCATGCACTCAAAGACAAGTTGTAGCTCCGTGGGTTTGGTCCAGAGTACACCGTGCATTGTCACCAGGTATGCGCTCGTGAGCCTACACAATACTCTATAACGCGTCCACCAAATCGAACGATAGACCTACTTGACACGGAGGAGGAGGTGGCCGACGCGCGTTTGGACGTCGACGTTGGCCGACAACTGCCGCTTTTGAACGACGACGCGGTTGCCGTCGTAGAGAGCTTGGTAGCTCTCGATACCGACCATGTTGACGGCGGCCGTCTGCGTCGGGTCAGCCTCGGCGTGGAGGAGATGGAGCTTGTGCGGCAGGAGCTGGTACGGCGTGATGGCCCCCAAATCTTGCTGGAAGCTGGACCGAAGTGACGTCAGCGTCAGCGTCGCGTTCGTATCGTGGAGCGACCGGTCGTACACTTCGTCGTCGGCCTCTTCGTGGACGAGACCGTTGTTGGTGAGGATCGTGACGCCGGCAACATTCAAGGGCGATGACTTGAAGTTGTGAGCGCTCTTGAGGAGCGGGTTTTCACGGCGTCTTCGCCGAGCGAGCAAGCACGTGGCAACAACGATGATGGCGACGGCGACGAGCCCGATGCCAATGTAGAGACCCGTGTTGATTTCGTCGCTCGACGACGTCGTCGCGTCGGTCAGCGTCGGTGTCGGCGACACCGTAGCGGGTATGGCGGTCGGCACCACAACTGTCGTGTTGGGTGTTGTAATGTTGGGCACCGGCGCGGTCGTTGTCTCTTGTGGAATCGTCGACGGTACAATCGTGGTGCCATTGAGTTGAAGGATCGAGCGGACGCGCGCACACCAGCCGCCCGGTACGTCGTAGCCCGAGACACCATAGAGCGACTTGTACTGGGCGCCGCAAGAGAGCTCCCGCGTCGGCCGGCGGTCGCACTCGGGCATGCGGTCGACCCACGCGCAGTGGACGCCGTCGATCGAGCCGCACGCGACGTCGTTGTTGTCGTTGAGGCGGAAGGCCGCGATCCCGAGCGTATCGGGGAGACACGTCCACGTCGAGTTGGTCATTGCCAGCAAACTCTGTCGGTGGAATCGCGATGTGAGCAGCTCCAAAATGGAGCCACAGGATCGAATGCGAGATCCGGCAAAGTGGCGCTGGCGACCGCATGTATTCCATACGCAAAAACAGCTGGTGCGATCTGAGGTGGCGTGCAGTGCCACCGCCGCTGCATGTTTGTACTTTGACACCAAGGGTACTAGCGTAGAGCTCTATCACTGTTTGGACTCGATATTGTCGTTGAGCACCAAACAAT